AATTATTGTTAAAGGTGTACAGTGCATTTTCATCAGAAAAAAAGAAAGAGTAACACAAGAACTAATGGCCCAACATGTTAGCAACGTGATCATTCCTAATGGAGCTATTCCAGTTAGAATTTGATATAGGCATTACAGAAAATAATAATATAGCGATGGGCCCTACTTTAATAGATAATAAAGGTGTTTTCAGAGTTATATATTAACTAGCTGTTGTACCCGTGCTTTGCAATGGGAAGAGGACACAAAATAGAAACATTTTAATCTTTACATCTGTTGCATATAGTAGTTATACATCCTCCAACACTTTTAGAAACAAAATTCAACTTTTATACAAAGTTTTTAATAGAAACGTTTAAGTTATGACTTTTAAATCTGGTAAGTAGTGGATACCACCATTTCATCTCCCTTAATAACATATCTTTTTATTTATTATTGACATTTTAAATTTCAATTTTGAAGTTACTACTAATTATTATTAAATTTAAATGATTTCACTCTTCTTTATACATATTAAATCACAAATCCTTCCATCTTCAGTTTCTTCACTCACAATAAATCATTAGCAAAACTAAGTCAGCTGTTATAAGCTTTAGAAATATTCCTATGCCTTTTCAATACAGTCTTTTGAAATATTAAAGAAACTATAGGCCTATCTATAGGTACTATAAAAAATTTCAAAAAATAATTTAGCATTTAAGACAGCAGACAAAACTAATATGATTATCAAAGCATCAAGGACTAAACAATTTAACAGCAAATACAGTATATGTTTCATTGCATCTCTGATTCTACTCTACAAAAATATCAACAAACAACTTAATATACAAACCAGTTCTTTTAATCAGTTCCATCGTCCATTGGCTTTACATTTTCACACTTACCATAAAGTCTAGTAACAGATACTTCATTGATTTTAGAAACAAAAGAACACTGTGTACTGCTTAGTTTTATGATATTTTCCTTAGTTTAATTTAATCAGTGGTGTGGAAAAATACAAATAATAAATGTATCAAATAAAGTAAATGTGAACTGAAAGCTATGGATAAAATAAGAGTATTTTGTATTACCATTTGATAATTAATTATAGTTACACATATACAACAGATTTAAAAAAAAAACAAAAATCAACGACGTACAGTACAATTTAGTTATTGATGATATTCGTTAGTTTAATTTATGCATAGGTTTAGTAAAACACAATAACTTAATTTACCTAAATATACATATAAAAAACAATGTGATGTGCAAGTTATGTTAAGTTAATCTAACACCTGTTAAGGAGTTAGAATTTATTTAAAGTAGCCTCCAAATTCATATAAAATATCTATACATTGTAATTTTCATACTGTTTCCATGAAATAATCTATACTTATTTAATACGCAAGCAGGATTTTTGTGACAATTACTCCTCCGAAACTACTGAACCGATTGACATGTTTTTGGTCTCATTGGAAAGAGCGTAACGTGAAGTTGTGCAGGAAACTTTCTTTTTAGGGAAATAATTAGAGAGTGAGGCCCTGGGCCCTTTAAAGTTTCGTATTTCTCCATAAGATTAACATGGGAAACAAAAATTGTTATGAAACTCCAGCTGTTGTCAGAAATCAAAAGTGAGAAGAAGAGCATAGGTTAATTGTAAACAGTCAATAAGTTTGCTAATAAAACAGTTTGCTGCAAATATTTGCTGACTTGGTTGATGTTCGTTTTAAAATAACGCCTGTAATAACTTATTTAGCGATTGCTCGAATTCGAGCAACAGGGACACTAGTATTATTAATAACATTATTTTCATAACTTAGACGCTTTAAAAAAATCCAAAACAGAGCCGGAGTTGATACAGCAACGGTTATAGAATATTTTTTGTATATAATCATTGACATAGTTTTAGAATAAATAATCCATGATAAAAGGTTAGATTAAAATAAACCTACCTCAAAGTTATGGAAAATATTATATTTAATTTCTTTGTATCAGCTGTCTGAAATAGTGAAATTTGCAGTTTAGCAGTTCTTCTTGTTTACATTTAAATGTCAAAGCAAATGTAAACAAACATTGTTAGTGATCTCATCGCAGCCATGGAGACAAATCAATATTTACTTTTAAAATCTTCACCTCACAACTTTTAAAGCCAAAGGGACAAAGCCTACGGTCAGTATCGAAACGTGAATAGTCCTATAATGGTCCTTGGTATGGTAACTATAATTTTGTAAAATTTTAGCCCAGTTTGTTCAGTAGTTTTTGCACCTATTAGTAACACACATAGAGACAGACACCATTAGATTTTTATATAATAGTATAGATATCTGAATAGTTTGTTTATTCAAATTATTGTTATTGTTTATTTATTTATGTAAATGCTACAATACAGATGTTGGATCACAAACATTTAACAACATACTTAAGTCCAATTACATTGCAGCATAGTACAAATACTCATAATACAGTACATACTTTTGTGTGAACACGTGTCAAAATGTCTTTTGTTCATCATGCAGGCAACAACACAGTATTAAATAAATAACACTTTACATAAACAACAGTACAACAACAACAACAAATGAGCAACTTAAATTATACAATAAATAACTTAAACAATAAATATTTTTATTGTTATCAATATTGATTGGTAACTGACATATCTGTACAGTCATATTCTAATTAACTTACAGACGATACATATAAATATAGTAAGATGAACTTTTATTTCGTGTTGACGCTCTATTGGGTACAAACTATGGAACTATAGTTTTATTGACTATGAATTTATGTTTGGATGTCAAACGTACTCCAGCAGGTGCTTGTAAATCGATAACGTAACAATGTTCATTACATGTTTATTGCTCAATAATGTAAATGTATGACTACATTATGCTTTTGAAGTGTCAAGAAAGGTTATACTTTCAGCCAATAATTTTACACTAAGTACATTTGGACAAAGTTATGTTCCAGCCACGATAAGAGAATCATTACTTCACAAATATTCCAATGAATCACCATAGTAATTTTGTTGTTCCTTGGTTGAAAATTTTTCTGTACACATAAATATGTCATATTTTTTCTTGTATAGAGGGTGAATCTTGTCAGGTGTCCATTATTGATTTTAGACAAACAGTTGGTCCTACACTGCAACCAAGAATAACGTAATTATCATGGATTTAAAAAGGTTTACGCTCTTCCTTAATGTTTATTTTGTAAGAAAAAAATTAGTTAATCATTGTTGGATCAACGGTTTGTGTAAATCCAATACTGGCCAACTTTAGAAGATTCACTTTGTATATTACGCTATTCGGGTTGAACTGTTACGTTGTTTCGGTTCCAAAACCTACTTGTGAGATGTGAGTTTTGGTTGTATGTGTGGAATAAACACTTTTTTAATAAAACAAAGTATTTGTAAAACATGCTTTTTTTAATTCCTTAAAATTTTCAGTGTGAGTAAACTTGGTTCATTATTAGAACGTAATACCACCAGCCACTCTCCTATTAAAAGAGATAGGTCATGTTTATGTTTGTTAAAGGATTTTATTGGCTTAAAACCTGAGTCTCAATGAAGGTTTAAGATTTTCTTTCTTTTAAAGAAGATTATGCAAAGAAATGTAATAATATCTAGCTAAATGTTTTCAAACTGATTTAGTAGGGTGTTTGAAATGTCTAAAATGATGTAATATAATGCAATATAATATGTAATACAATAATATATTAATAATATTGTTATATACAATGTAATATAATATGAGGTATACGCGAGGAGTTGACATATTTTGCCCATAACGGTTTCATCTCCCAAACTTTATGAATACACATAAATGATATAGCTACAGTCCCATATTATGATGTACCATAAAATGCATAATAAGACGTTAAATATCTATCTACTTTATGTTAGTCTTAAATATTATAGCCATTAATAATTGGCACTATAGTTAAAACTGTAAACTTATTTCATAATAAATACCAATAGTATTAATGGTATGTTGGTATAAAAAGTATAATATAAATTTGCTTTCAACAAGTAAATTAGATATAAACTTTTTTGAATTCCACAAACTGAAAAAATTCAACAATTAGTTCTTGTTCCAAATATTAGATCGTTTTTACAAGCTTTTTTGACCAATATGTAAGTTCAAATATATATTCATAATAATAACATTTTACATAAAACTGTTAATATGCACGCAATATTAAGATATTAATTAACTTATTTTGTTATACCATTTATTTAATTTAATCTTATACAACAATAATATCAACGAAGAATTCCAAATAGTCTGATGATTTTGATACTCTTCTTATTATTTCTCAAGACTTTAGAATGATTGAGAATAGTTAAAATGCTACATCCAAAGTCATAGGATTAAATGGAACAGAACAAAATATACCTAAAAATAGGTGAATTTTTATTTAAATTTAGATTGGAGGCTAAATACATATGTTTTTATATATTTTGTATTGTATAACACACATATTAATATCATTACACAGCAGATAAATTAGGATATCTAATGTGAAAAAAAACTATTAGATCCTCAGCATTAGCTTAAACTATTTACTTAAAAACACATTTATGAATCCGGCATTGATTTAAGGTTCACCCCTATGATAGCTTGGGTGGATTTTATACGTTTGTCATACAGTAACATATACCCAACTTATTATCGTGTAACGATATTATACAGTGGTTGCAAATGTTTTTCCTGATTAGACAGTCATCAACTTCCCGATATTGCGATATTGAATCGAAGTTAGTATAATTCACTAGACAAGATTTAAATTTCATCAACACTTGTTTCAATGACAGGGACATATGCATTAACTGTTTGAAAATATTACTTAGCTTTGCAAACCTTGGGCTACACGCAATGTGTTACTTTTCTCCGGCGGGGAACTTTTGATAAGGGCACTGCTTGTTGTGTGGGTAGTGGTGGGGTACAGGGTGGGTGTAGGGGGTGTAATCACCACCTGTCGAGGGTGGAGCAGTTGCTTTGCCGCCACCGTGCCAACAACCTGGGTTCGCCGTGACACAAGTTTGTTTTCGTATTCCTGGTCGTTTTAGTTAGATTTTTATTTGTGTGCGTTTAGGGGAAAAGGACGATAACTGGACTGCTCCCTGAAATTCGGGAATTCGCTAAAAAAGTAAATGGAAGTGCTGCTTATGTGCGTAATCTACTTCAACAAGTAATTATTTTATGAGTACCTAATACGTTTGAATACAATTATTTATAACAGTTACCTTACGATTTCTAATATAAATAGATTTATATTTTGTATCGATAAAATTTAAGGATGTAAAATAATTTTAACAATCAAAACTTAAATGGAAATAACATAATTGATATCACAATCCATTATTTATATTGCTCTTGAAAAGATACATGTTATGATCGCGGTATTAACTGATTGCAAATTTTTTAGGGTTTGTCAACTGATAATAACAGATTATTGACTAATCGACGTAGACGTTTAAGGAGTTAATCTGATCAAAAATACTACTGAATGCTGATACTGAATAATACTGAATCATCTATCGTTCAATATCAAGGATAAATTTAGTTAAAATAATGGCACTTAATATCTAGTGATTATCAATATCGTTTTATTACCGCCACAGTTATAATAATTATCTAAAAGCTTCCATAAGAACAGTAATCAACTGGTTTGGTAAGTGTTTTAATAATTGGGATTTCTTGCTAATTTTGCACCTAAGAAGTTTTAGATACGACAGTTAATTTTAAATTTTAACAGATGTCTTCCAATTGAAATCTATATTTAAACGATAAACGATATTTTAAATCTGGTGCAAAACTACATTGGAAAGCAGCATCTTAGTGTTTTATGCGTGTAGGCTAAGAAATAAACCAGGGACTTTTTATTGTTTTTTTAGTACATTAGTTTTTTTGTGTGAGAATGTATATAACTGAAAACGTTCATACTACAAATGTATAACGCATTATCCAAGGCTTGGTAAAAAATAACAAAGGTTATTTTCAGGTTGGTTATATTTATTACAACAAAGTTATAATGAATTAGCTCAAACTTTACCTCAAGTATAAATTTGTCCACCAATTTCCACTTGCAATTATTTTGAATGTTATACTAGCAGTTTTACTATTTATCGTTGACGTAATACAATAGCAAACTATGCACGTATGCTTGAAGATGGATTGTCGTAGCCTCAACAAATATCAGTATTGATTTTAGCAACAATTTTGCCAACGTATGCAAGTCATACGATCACGAAACGTTGACATGCATTATTTCCACGAAACCATCAGAGGAAGTATGTTTTATACGAGGAAATGTATCCACTGGTTTGTACAAATATTGTGCTAATTACACGAACAAATAATAAAGTAATTTATTATTTCTGAAAAAGTATAAATTAAGCATTATTCCATTCGGTGGTAGGTTGAACAAGTTTGTAAATTAAAATACATTTTATGGTTTTGTTCACTAATGAAAATTGAATATACCATTATTATAAACATTATTAGTTACCGTCCACGAAGAAAATTATCACATAGGTAGTTTTTAAATACTGCCCACATTAACATTGACAACAGTTACTCGAATTCCGACTCTAATGATTAAAGTATTTATGATTTTCTCTACAAATAATATCTTTTTAATTTACTATAGTAATAAATCGATTTTATTCTTGAAATAAAATCTTTAGATTGAATACTGAAACAGAAACCAAATTTATGAAATTCAACATTGATACATTTGATACATGATTGTTAAGATACCAACAGTTACAAATCATGAAGATTTGTTTCTTTTAAAGAAAATGAAAAACAAGTAACGAAATCTAGTTTCTTAAAACTGTTTTAAGAACTTAGAATCCATGATTTTGATTTAATATTTTTCTTAAAAAGGAATATTTTTCTAAACATTAAAATTAAAAACTATTACCACCAAAGTTTTACGCACATAACACATTTTGTTTAGATATAATCACCCAAATTTAAAATACATAATAAAAAACATCATACGAAATAAAAAGATATAAGGTAGTCAAATAAAATAAAACCTTATTAGAATGAAATTATATAATCACAATTTATTTGGTAACGCTTACTTCATACGTTTAACATTATTGAATTCCAATACATGCGTCAACACAATTGATTGTACAATGAAACCACTTTATATTATGTTTGGTATTTACAGGAAATTCTTAAACGATGTTGATTTAGCTATAAAAGGAGCATTTCCTATTCACTGTAATTCTGTGTTACTCAACGCAACAGAAAATAATTATTTATGTAATTCAATTTAATCCAGTAAAACGGAAAATGAATCATTATAATCTTGCTCAAATATATTCAACGTTATTGTTATACATGTTCACCATAACGGATTATGCGTGTATTTATATTATTCGAATGCGATCCTATCATATCAGTTAAAGGAATAAAGGCCCCTGAATTCCATGATCCAGTTACAATGTCTTTTTTTTCAGTCGACCACATGCAGCGAAGTAGTGAAGCTATGGTCTAATAAAATAAACTCTGATAACGAAGTCCATAATAAGTAGGACAAATAGGTAATAGGTAGGAAAAGTAATCTTCGAGCAAAAAAATATGATTCCTTAAGTAAAGAGACAAAACCATAGATTGGTACCTTTCTTTACGAACGAGAGTCCTATGCTGGCAAAACATAGAACATAGGAAACATAAACATAGGAAACATGTCATAAACACACTGTCATGTTGTTGAACGAGAGTCCTATGCTGGCAAAACATAGAACATAGGAAACATAAACATAAGAAACATGTCATAAACACACTGCCATGTTGTTTATAGGTCTGATGATGATGAGGGGGCGTGGTAATTATTAGTGTTTCACGTCCACGACCGGGAGTAGGAACGCGACAGTTTTCATGCACTTTAATAACTTCACAGGTCGGGGGTATATCACAAATAAAAATTTTCATTTCCGTATCACTTTCATTCAGGACATCTTTGGGGGAAAAAATATGAATATTGACAAACGAGTTAATAGTATGAGCATTACATGAAGACTAGGAAGGATCGCGAAACATCACGTAACAGGTGCAAGGGTAACTGTATATATATATGAAGGAAGTAAATATGATTCTGCACGGAACAGATACATTTAATAACCTTATTATTGCAAGCAAAATTAAATCCCTAATGATACAACGGTCTTCATTGAATTTTTTTACCAGAATGTCATGTAAAACGGTTTAGTTTGCCATACTCAACAATGAAAGGTTAAAGACACTTGTAAACATTATTAAAAACGAACACTTAAGTAATTAGTACATAGTAATTGTCTGTAAAGCAGACTGAATTCATAATATGGCCTTCGTTAGAACAGATTATAAATTTACACTAACCTTTTGCAAATGAATATATTAAAACCAACTTTATCACGTCAAAAATAATTTTTCAGATATGAAAGTCACTCTACTCAATTCACACCTGTTATGAGAGCTAAATTGGATGTCAATATGCCTGTAAATTTGTCGCCTGGAACGACTTGTATGTGTGAAGTGCTGGGTTAATTAGATCGTTCGTTAATTTTGCCCCTCGTCACTTCACTTCGATTTTTAAGAATCGTTAATAACGAAAAGGGAAATTTACAACAGTTGGCTACAATCCACTTATTATATTTTTTTGATAAAATATTTTTGTAAAATTAACTTGAGAAGGGTAATGTAGCATTTTGTGTTGAGTACAAATTTTTGACCAAAATATTGTAGGCTATTCGTTAAAATGTTATTGTGTGCATTAACAGACTTACTTGTTTTAACATCGAATCAATCACGGCAAGAAAGATTGGCGGAAATGACAATGTCATTGAGACCGGATATCAATCTCCGTTGTTTTAGAGGATGTCAAAATGTCAAAATCAAAGCCACGCACATGTAACATGTAACAGCAGACACTTACGAAATATCAACTCGTATAATCCTTTGAAGCGTATACAGGAGTTTCTGTCTTATAAAACGTTTTACAGTGAAAACAATCCCTAAAAAACGAACGTATTAATATAGCGTTTAATTTAGCGTATTATTCTTTGATCTAAACAATTTTGGAGAGCATTGTTTACGTTTAACATTAATCTATTTAAACTTAAACTATTTAAAAATTAAAGTAAACGGTATTTTTAATCAAAAATAATTTATTCCAATATTATGTATACATAATAATGATTGACTTAACTTCTGCCCGACTCCATGGAGTATGATAGGACCGGCTTAAATTAAGGAGTAACAGTTTTATTTTGAAAAGAGTTTCATAATTGTGGAATCGTAAACAAATTGTTTTCTATTTATATGTGAATTCATAGATTTATGAATATATTATTAACCACAAGGTATTTATATCAAACACTCACTATTTATATCTATATTTAATTGTAGTACAATATTCTCAGGAATGAGTATATGTTTATACTAAGAGTAGAATCTTGCAAATTGTTGAAAAAAGTTGATTTACCATCACTAAATGCATACGCAAATCATATTCATAGCATAGCTCAAGACAAAAAAATATTGCTTTTGCTAAAATCTATATTAAAGCATATTTCCAATTCTAGTTATCTAATCTAATTACAACACAGTCAAACTGTAACATCTGAATCTGACATTCTAAGATTGATATTTGCTGGAGAAATTAGCACTAGATTGAGCTGAAAATAACCTCTATATCGTAAATCTAGAAGGGAGGTTACTTTATCCTATAACTCAGACTGAATTTGAAATCGGTTTCCAATATTTCACCTAACAGCTGCATTAAGGCCCCAACAAATCATGTACTGTCTGAACAGTATTCATGAATGGGGGTTTTGTCTCGGCACTGGGTTTGCTGAAGATTTAGCGTATTTTATAACAGTTCAACCCAACATCAGGGTTCAAGATAATTATTTCGTACAAGATTTCCAATTACTTATTACATAGTTAAAGAAAATCACTTTAATATAATTTTTTCCAAAAGTTAAATAAATATTGATGCAATAAAATTACTACCTTATCCAACGACAGTTGTTCGTATGACTACTAGTTTCATACTTTAGAGCTTCGTCAGTTCATTTTGTATGCAACCACATCATCAATGTATTAATGAATTAATTGCGGTATGCCAATAAAAACAAAAATTCTGTCACAATCTAAATAGTTAAAACTTGCCATGTTGATAAAATAATTAAAATTGAATAAATATTGATTATACTGATTAACACTCTACAGACTGTCCAGCACTGTTAAAAAAAATAGATTTAATGTTAAAAACAGCTAGCATGAAGATATTGTATTATGAATGGTTTGACATTTTACATCCTGGCGTAACAATATTTCATCACTGAATATTCACTTCAAAATTCTAATTCAATGCCCTAAGCATACATTATTCATACTAAGGAATATGTTATTAATCTTGAGGGTGGAACGAAGTTAGTGTTAAGAAATCTATCGTCTTACTGCAGCAAAAACGCCCTTCTAAAACATGCATTGCGGGTCTTAAGTATCTTAAGAAGCATGCATTTTTAGACCCTTGGGAGTAAAAACTAGCTGTTTTAGACAGTTGTAAAATCAATTTTAAGCAATCGAGGGAATCAACATTATTTATGGATTGATTTATTAGGTTAGGTTTTAGCTTATTGTTGCATTCTTGTCAATAGTTCAACCATAGATAAAGCCCTTGGTACGGAAACACAATCGTAAAAAGCGAAATGAATGAATCACTTACTATACAACTGCTCATTTACATTGGCAAAAATTAAAAAAAAAGCTGGAAGCCGTTTTGAGAAGTTATCTTTATATGAAAAGTATTTTAATTTTCCAGCTTGGTTTTTCGACCTTTTCGCGAAAATGAGGCCTCAGTCGTGGGACTTTTAACTTTTGCTCGGTTAAAAAAGAGTCACTTTACGCCCTAGAGATAAAATATACTATTATTTTTTAAGCTACTATGTATTAGTGGCAAAATGGCACGAATCTAGGTTTCCATATTGTATCACAGTTAAGAAAAATAGACAAAATACGACCTTCTAAAATAATTGTACTTGCTCAAAAAAAATGGACCAAAACTGCACTAAACATTGTTTTTTTAGGAATTGTCATTTTTAGAATTATTTAATTTTCAATAATAACAGGAGAGAGACATTAAGACAAAAGATCTGTATAAGCCCTTATTCTGCAATAAAATTTGATTTGTAGTTTATGAAAAATATTCATCTATTTTACGTATGTTTTATATATTACACTGGACTGTACAACAAGGTATCAATACTATTTGACACTCTCTACAGTCCGGTGTAATACAGAAAAAATATTGTAATATATTAAATTTTTCTCATAAATCTTAAATTATAATTTCTATTTCAGAATCAGGGTTTATACAGATATTTTGTTTAAATTAATCTAAATTATTGTTACTGGTAGTTTAATAAAGATTCTGAAAATGACAATAACTTCTAACGAAAAAAATGTTTAGTGCACTCATGGGCATTTTATTTAAGGCAATACAAATAAGAATATACTGGATTAACCTAAATTTGGTGCAATTTAGTCACGAATACTAACACGTAAAATTTGTTAACCCTAACTTTTATCCAACCTTTAGGTCTCAAATTTAAATACTTTTCTTTTTTGTAATCACATATTTTTCTTGATATAGTTTCCACTAGGAGTAACAATGGTGATACAATGATCCAACATCTTAAGTGAATTGTTGTGTGAGATGTGGAGTCGCTTCGTCAATAACATTATAGTGCGGGACAATACTCTTCTCGGTCTACTCTGGATCCTCTCATTTCTCACACTCTCCGGAACCTTCGACCACCCTCCTCGTCTCCGCATGATCGACTCCTACTCCGGAAGTACCATGGAGCATGAGATCAAGCTACGTCATCGTCACAGGAAGATTCCTGAGGACCTTAAGATGGAGTTTCTGGCTAAGAACTTCCGTTCTCTCTTGGAAGAAGGTCCGACGCCGGTAGTGGAGAAACCTCTATGGCCGGTCAAGAGGGAGGCGGTTTTGGAGGGAGATCTCATTCTTGGCGGTAAGTAATAAAATTTAAATTATGTTGATACAGACGAATTATTGGTTTTAGATGTAAAAACTTTCATGAAACATTTAAATGTTAAAGTATTGTAGAAGTACACTTACTCTGGGTTTAATATAAGTTTGTGTATCTAAGCCATGCATCCACTGCATTCTTACAGTTTTTTTCTTTTTTAAGAAGACTGTCTGAACTCTATATGACGTCCAGTAAATCTTTGATTATATATATACGCCTATATATATATATCGCCTTGTTGAGTATATTTACGAGCAAGTTTTTCGAATTGAATTTTCCATATCCTGGTCTGATTACTATCCAACTACACAATTTTGTTAGATTGAAAAATTAACTGATAGCCCGGAACAAATGCAGAGCAAAAACCAGTGCTAGGAATGGCTGTACAAAATACATATTTCCATAAATAGACATACTTGTTGAATCGCCATTGATGGGTAGTTATTTATTAATAAATACAGTTTTTGTTATTAAATAATTGTAGAAATTGAAATTGATACTCCAATTTCTCCTTTCTAAATAGTTAACTGCACCAAACTGTTGAAGTTTAGAAAAAGCTTACTCGGATTGAGATGTCATGGGAGTTGAAACTCTTTAACTCTTGAACTGTAGTCTAAGTCATTAATTACCTTACTTAATTTAAGTCTGGAAAACGGTCACTGTAATCTTTATCAAACGGAATATAAATTTACCAAGAATAGAGACTTTTTTACCTCTTATAAAAAATCTTCCGAAAAAAAGTATATTTCTAACATTATCATTGCTTTGAATTTGAGCTTATGCTGTGATGACCTATAATGATACATGAAAGCTCAGTGACTGTTAGCTATGGACCAGTTATTAGTCTCGGAGTGAGATATCATGCCGGGCCATTAACTCTCTGTCATGCTGTCCTAATATCTGAAAGCGCATTACGCTTGTCCATTCTGACTTGTACCTGTTATACTTCGGGGATATGTATACAAGCATTAAAGACCATGTTGTTCCTCACTCTCAACATTGTAAGCTTACAGATTTCATATTGTATAGAGGAACTTGTAACAAAAGTCCAATAATGTCCGAAAACTGTGCATCTTAAACTTAATATTCCTTATTTACTCTAGTATAAACACAAGCATTGAAGTATATGTTGTACAACTTAGTATTACAAACTTGATGTTACGTGGTGCATAGGATAGTGCATGTGCATGATAAACTGTGACCTAGATAACTGTCGTGCTTCAGAGAGAACACGAACATAAAGTAAAGTATGTCCCAATAAGATTACCGGATTTGAAATATTAACAAATCATAAATTTTAACACTAAATTTATAATATGAAACATTAATCTTAAAGCATAGTATATTCGATCAGTAATGGAATATTATGTCTTGTAAGTGCCCACCTGCTGCCTGCTGAAAAGCCAAGCATCTCTTGAAATAGTTTTCCATCACATTTTCACACACTTCCTGTTGAATTCCTTTAACGGCATGAATAATTTCCTCCATCAGGTCTTGGATTTTTTGAGGATTATTGGTGAAAACAAGAACAACAACTTTAAATATCCCCAAAGAAAGTAGTCACACGGTGTTAAATCACACGATCTTTTTTCCATTTACAGAAGTATGAACCAATGACTCAATTTGCCCAAAACCCACACCAAACTGTAACACGAGGAAGATAGAACGGGGTTTCTGCGATTTTCAGGAAGATTTTCAGTTCTCCAAATTCTACAGTTTTCCTTATTTACATAACCAATGTTGTAGGAACTATAGAAGATTCAATCGAACTTAGAACTTAGAAATCAATCTTCGGATGGATGACTCATTTGGTGCATGGTGCGGCTGAAAATAACGTACCGTTTCAACGAAACATTCCCCCTACTTGGAGTGCATTTTAACTATGACCACGCGTTGGTCCGTCGTGTAGTGATTTATGACTACAAATGGGACCTAATACTGATAACATCGCTGTTCATTTGGGAATTCCTTTTGAAATACAGATAAGGATAAGAAGCTCCTGAAGTCCGGCGTTCTTACTGAGACTTCCGTTACTTCATAATCACTTCATCCATTATTTTATGACCTGTTGCTGTCCATGGGTCGGTTGATGGTATATAAACGCTCAGACACAGACACCTGTGGCCCCAAATGCCTCAGGGTGGGATACAAGCACTAGAGACCATGCTATACACCCTTGATGTCATAAACACACTGTCATGCTCTTTATAGGTCAGATGATCGTACATAAACATTCAGGCACAGAGACCTGTGAACCCATCATGCCTCAGGGTGGGATACAAGCACTAGAGACTATGCTGTACACCCTTGATGTCATAATTAACTATCATGTTGGTGGGATACAAGCACTAGAGACTATGCTGTACACCCTTGATGTCATAATTAACTGTCATGTTGTTTATAGGTCTGATGATAGTACATGAACGCTCAGACACAGAGACCTGTGGACCCATCATGCCTCAGGGTGGGATACAAGCACTAGAGACCATGCTGTACACCCTTGATGTCATAAACACACTGTCATGTTGTTTAGAGGTCTGATGATGGTACATGAACGCTCAGACACAGAGACCTGTGGACCCGTCATGCCTCAGGGCGGGATACAAGCACTAGAGACCATGCTGTACACCCTTGATGTCATAAACACACTGTCATGTTGATTATAGGTCTGATGATGGTACATGAACGCTCTGACACAGAGACCTGTGGACCCGTCATGCCTCAGGGTGGGATACAAGCACTAGAGACCATGCTGTACACCCTTGATGCCATAAACACACTGTCATGTTATTATAGGTCTGACGATGGTACATGAACGCTCCGACACAGAGACCTGTGGACCCGTCATGCCTCATGGCGGGATACAAGCACTAGAGACCATGCTGTACACCCTTGATGTCATAAACACACTGTCATGTTTTTTATAGGTCTGATGATGTTACATGAACGCTCTGACACAGAGACCTGTGGACCCGTCATGCCTCAGGGTGGGATACAAGCACTAGAGACCATGCTGTACACCCTTGATGTCATAAACACACTGTCATGTTGTTTATAGGTCTGATGATGGTACATGAACGCTCTGACACAGAGACCTGTGGACCCGTCATGCCTCAGAGCGGGATACAAGCACTAGAGACAATGCTGCACACCCTTGATGTCATAAACACACTGTCATGTTGTTTATAGGTCTGATGATGGTACATGAACGCTCTGACACAGAGACCTGTGGACCCGTCATGCCTCAGGGTGGGATACAAGCACTAGAGACCATGCTGTACACCCTTGATGTCATAAACTCACTTTGATGTTGTTTATAGGTCTGATGATGGTACATGAACGCTCTGACACAGAGACCTGTGGACCCGTCATGCCTCAGGGTGGGATACAGGCACTAGAGACCATGCTGCACACCCTTGATGTCATCAACTCACTGTCATGTTGTTTATAGGTCTGATGATGGTACATGAACGCTCAGACACAGAGACCTGTGGACCCGTCATGCCTCAGGGTGGGATACAAACACTAGAGACCATGGTGTACACCCTTGATGTCATAAACTCACTGTGATGTTGTTTATAGGTCTGATGATGGTACATGAACGCTCAGACACAGAGACCTGTGGACCCGTCATGCCTCAGGGTGGGATACAAGCACTAGAGACCATGCTGTACACCCTTGATGTCATAAACTCACAAGGTCTCTTACCTTTCACTCTTGGTGCTCACATCCTAGACGACTGTGACAAAGACACATATGGCCTTGAGATGGCTGTGGACTTTATAAAAGGTATTTATGCTATGTTTGTATAATTTTTTTCGATAAAACCCATTTAAGCAGTATACTAACTTCTTAGAATGTTTAATCGTATATATCGTCTATAATACATTTTGTAAGAGTTTTTGGAAAATGTTACCCAGGATCCTATTACAACCAAACAACTCAATAAAGTCTTAGCTTATTCTAAAATACTTTTAAAGTCCATAACAGTGCTCACATTTGACTGCTTGGACCAATACAACCATACAATTAATTGACATAATGTTGAACTGGACTAATTATAAACCATTTAAAGAAATTTTGTAATATTAAAGTGTTAACTGAACCATTCCGGTCCCTTTATATTGCTGATTAGTGGGTAATTTAAATCTCTGAGGACACATTGCATCACCATTTCTTCCTAAAAAATTACACATACTACATCCTCCTACTAACATTGTAACGTATCCCCTAAACAATTTAAAGATATTTATCTTACACTATATTCGCACCTAGGAAATATTCTGATTTAGTGGAGTTCGCAAAACTGGTGAATGAAAGTGTTTGCTTATTCTATATAGAGGATTTTGATGGATAAAAACGAATATGCAGTTTGATAACCTTAAGAGTCAAGAAGAGATGTCAATGAAAATCATGTCTTTATTACATGACAAATAAACAACACCAGTAATACGGCCTTTTGTCATAAAACATTGTTGCTGTGTCGTAGCTTAACCTTATTTTCGTCATTATAAATGTTGTTTCGTAGCTTAAATCATTATACCCAGTTTGATATAATAGTAGGAATTTGTTAGGCCATTCGCTTAAAATGTAATAAAAATTATTTTGATCATTTGTTTTTGTTGTAGCCTGTAAATGTCGTATAAACTTTACAAATGCCACCCCAAATTGTTGCATACGACTGTTAATAGTTTATCATGTTTTTTCATATAGTTAGAAAACGTTTGATGGTTGATGAATCTCAAAACCACAAACAATTTCCAAATCAAATGAAATTAAAAATCTTATTCCTCACAGAAGACTGCATTGACCGTAGTACAATAAAATCGCATGCTGAACATTTTATCTAGATATTATCCACTGTTTGAATCATTGCTGAGTCATTACTGTACACAATGTATAGCACCCCAATGTTATTGGTTAGGAACTAATGTACATAAGTCCCAACGTAATGAAAATGTGGAAATATCTGATAAAATAAAAAGTTACTGGAACGAACGGTAAAATGAAGATTATGGATTATTTTCAATATTATCGTTCATCATGTTAATTTCAATTAGTTGCGTTTAAGCATACGGCTCTTTCAGCTATCATCTTAAACAATATAGGGATTGCCTAGGTTACCAACGGCAATACAGATAAAATAAGTCAAATAGAATTATTATTATTGAAGATAGGTTTTACCTGTAGCCTAACCTGCTAGGAACAGTACATACAAGATAATTGAACGTTTCATAAACAAGTTAAATGCTCTTAGTCAATAGTTATCTCGAAAATATCATCTCTATAGACTGGAGAGACTACAAAAAGCTCCAATACTAACAATAGGATAGTCTTCAGTTAAGAAAATATAATCTAGCCAAAGTTTTATTTAAGTCTACTATGGTGGTCACTGATAATTATTAAGTGTTATAATATTATCATCCGATGCAACTGTTGGGGGACATTTAAAATTTGTTAATATCTTTTCCAACAAACTTAGACACAAAATAATAATAAATTAAACACCTTTTATTTATACTGCAGCCAAAACTGCAGTTTTTCATACATATGTTGCGGGTCTTAAGTGGCATTTTTCGTCCCTAGGGAGCAAAAAGCCTTTTTAGTTCCAATGGAGTAGAGGACAGCTGTTGTATTACAATTAGGCTTCGCCTTTGGCTACGCCTCGATCGAAAAACTTGAACTCAGGTCGAAAAAAGACACTTTATACCCTAGTTATAAAATATACTACTGCCTTTACAAGTGTATGTCCAGATATTACCAATTTCAACCCTATCAAATCTTTAGTTTTCAATGATGTGTTAAGAATTTTGGAGTAAGACTTTTAGGCAACACCTAACACTACACCTAGTTGTGCACCACCTAATAGGCAGCACGTAGTTCCCGGATTAACTAGAATTGTTATCAATACTTTACTTTGCAGGAACATAAGAGAACTGCTGTGCCATATCATCAAAATAGTATGTGTAATTTACTGTAGCATTATATAAAAAGTGTAAAGTTGTTGTAAAAGTAATCGTTTTAGTTTCTTATGACAGCTTACATAACTTGGATGTCAACAAAATTTCAAAAAAATATAATTTAGTTTACTTATAATATTACTAGCTGTTGTACCCGTGCTTTGCAACGGGAAGAGGACACAAAATAGACACATTTTGATCTTTACATTTGTTGTATAAAAAAGTTACACATCCACTAACGCTTTTAGAAACAAAATTCGGCTGCACTTTAGTATCCATTGACATAAATAAAAAAAATCTATAATGAAGTTTCATATTAAATTTAATAGTACTGCACCCTGTTGGTAAACCTTATAACTTGTTAATGTTATTTAATATCATAGAACCAACTTAAACAGATGACAAAATGCTTTTATTCCTTTTAAATATGAATACTCACGAGGTTAACAGTGGAAACTATAGAGCCACTGGGGCGGAGCCCGAAAGGACTTTTGAGATAAGAATGCGTCTATATGTTAATCGGGAATGTGAGCTATCATCACACCAAATTTTAGCCCAATCCGACCAGTATTTTTTGCGTTTACTTGTCACAAACATACATACATCCATACATCCAAACTTTCTCATTTATAATATTAGTAGGATTAAAACTACTAGAAAACTCTTATTGTGTCATTTTACTCCCACTTCAGTGGTGAATTGAGTAATTAGAGCTATTTAATGTATCAGTAATAACAATTTAACCGGATGGTAAATTTCAAATAAATTAGGTTAAATACCATTATCACTTCATAACTTTACTAAGATATTCTAACTTTAATATTATTTATATCCTCGAGCATTACTTAATTTAAACTATGCTCAAACCAAATTTTAACTAATTATTCAAATGCCATTGAAGTTTGCTCAAATCTCGCTTCAAACTTTCCTTGAACCGGAATTGAATTATGTTCCAATTACCTTTACATCTTACTCCGAGCTTTACCTATGCGCCAATTAATTTTAAGGTGATTTTTAATCAAAAATAATAAATTATTTGTTAAATGGACCGACTTGTATAAATAAAACTTATTTTAAATCCATGTTGTAACTTTTCACAAGACAACTAAAGGAGTGGAGTCGTGGTCCACCTACACTACACTACAACAGTTGTCTGCAATCAGCAGACTACTAGAGTCATATCTTTAACTTTTACCATTTAAAATATTTAATCTCATAAATAATTAAACGTTACCACAAGACTCTTCCAATACATGACTTCACAGAACAATCACTGTTTTTGTCAAACTTAATTACCATACAAATTAGCTGATGTAACAAAAGTAATATATTAATGTATTCAATTTAATTATTTGCAAACATGTAATGCTTTTGAAGGGTCCATCAGCAACATAGACGACGCAGAGTATCATTGCAACAAGAGCACCATAAGGAAGGTGATATCAGGGGTGGTGGGAGCAGCTTCAAGTGTAACCTCCATTCAGGTTGCAAACCTTCTCAGACTCTTTAAAATACCTCAGGTAAAATATATTTCAAACCTGTGCACGATATCGTATTTCTAATGGCAATGTTTTGTATTTGTAGGTATGTTGAACATTGAGTTAAAAAGAGAATATATAAGCCATCGTATTTAGTAAGTCGTTTGAGGAGGAATAATTTAACATTCATGAATATTTTTCCTTTTGGGAAATTCAAAATGAAACCTTTGATGCTGAAATAGATTTATGTTATTCATATTTAATAGCCTGTTTAAAAGTGTATTACTTATTAAATCCAGGATTACTTTTTTTCAAGTAAAACGTTTAAGCTGAAGCTACGCAATAATCTGTTTCCATTTATCTTTATTTAAGTGTTTCTGTTACTGCTACTATTTAGATTTAACTGCTTGCATTGTTTCCCTTTCATAAACTGCTAATCTGCTTATCAATAAAGTATTTTATGACTGTAAAATAAACTAAATTTTGCCAAAAATTTAACATTTTTTACACATAAACACACCTTTCTTTCTTCCCCGTTAACTGCACATAAACTGAGTTAGGTGTAAATGGCAAGGAGAAAAAGTAGCCGTATAACGACGTTAACCAATTAGTTCCAAAACACGTAAGCTAGACCCAGACAAGGGTAAAGGCTTGATAAGATTATCTTACACTTAACTCATCAGCATTACTAACTCAGTTGACTAACTCAATTTCCTCTTCTGACCAACAGCAACCGCAAGCAATTCCCTTCTCAGACCGCATTATATGTAGCAAACCGAAATCCATTACATTACCACTTATATGGGGATTAATTTGTGTGCTTCCTCTGAACTGAATTTAGAAACTTAGTCGAATAATCAATGCTGCATAGTTTTGTGAACCACACCTTTAATGCATGAATCGTTTATTGTATCCAGTTATGCTGCATTTGGTAAGAGGATGGGACAAACAAACAATGGGTTATAAGTAAAAAAATCTAAGTTGTCTTCCCCATTTAATTTTTTCAATGTCAATGTGGCATTTAGCTTTCCCTCATATTTTATATGATATATTACTTTATACAGGTCAATGCGGACGCTCATCCAATATGTCAAGGCATCAGATCCAATTTGTACAGTCTCTGTGACAGTTTTGATCACTTTTATGTCAATAAACCAATAAAGGTGTAAAATAACACCAAGACCCTCTAAGTCACACTGCATGTGCTGTGCGTGTTTTTAAATATTGGCAACCATAATTTGTACAGATAGAAACAAATGTATATCACCAATTAACGATTGCATTTACCAGGTATCTTTCTGGTCTACATCTCCAGAGCTGAGCAACAAGCAGAGGTTCGAATATTTCTCCAGAACCATTCCCTCAGACCATCACCAGGTCAAGGCTATGGTGGAGATTGTCAAGAAACTAGGATGGAGCTATGTTTCAATCGTGTATGAAGAGTCCAACTATGGGATCAAGGTAAAATGTGGCATTTTACTGTATTTTTAGTTACGTTAAGGTGTTATCACAATTCTATGAATTAATTAATGAATTCCTTAAGATTTATATTAAAACTAAAAATTTCTGACCTGGATGCCCAAGATCAGATACCGCTAATCATTAGGTTTTGCCATTTGATATTGTCATCAAACGGTAAACTGGAACCTGCCTTAAGCCAAAAAAAACATAGAAACATAGAATACAAAGAATATAAGGTGCTAACCTACTTTTTGGAAATATGATTAGTCTCTGAAGTTAGAATAACTTACTTAACCTAAGAAAACTACCTCTTCCAAATGCCGTTGATTAATTTCAACGATATATATATATATAACGATTTATAACGATACATATATGGATGGTTTGATTTTATTGAGGATTTTTTTAATAATGGCATTTGATTATGCGTGTGAGTAAATTTACAACAAAAATCTTAAACAACATATTCTCTTTATTTTTTCACCGGTGTAGAGATTAACTTATTTGTTCACGAATATACTATTTGCCTTTTACAAAATCTTATATTCAATTATATGTAGCAGTACTTTATATTAAATAAACTACATTTCTATTGGACACTGGCCGAATCCTAAATTGTAAGTAAATCAACACATAAATTGTGCTATTTCAATGCTAAACCATTCGATAGATTGGATTTGGTCAGAAATGCGACGGTAAATCACTCAGTTCTCATTCGATCAGCAATAAATTGTTTGTCATACGGGAAAGGTCAACCGGTAAAAGGGTAGATAATGCGTTTTGGAATCATCACTATCGGGGTTGATGGATTGTTGGCGTGATTTGTAAGTGTAAGAGTTTTCTGTACTCTCGATTTTGTTAGTGGTACAAGTAGTTTCATAAGTTACCTACAATATTGAGTTCCATCTTTAATCACGTTTGACGTATGAACATTTCGATTATTCATCAATGAGCTATATTTTTTTACAGTAAAAACCTAGGATTTAATCAAGGAAGATGAAGAAGAAAGAAGAGAGATGCTATAATCAAAATCATTAACATTTGGGTGCTTAATTATTAGGTTTTTATTGTACAACGATTTATTTTATATCTATAAAGGATAATGCGAGTTTAGGCTATTTTCTCCTTAAAGTTGTAAGATAATGCTCATTAATAATGTGCAACCTACAATAACGTCTTTATATGTATTATTTCACTACACAAACACTATATTTAACATTCAGTCAGCAAGCTTGTTAGGAATTATTTGAATGAAGGGATATTACACAAGTGAGGTACTAAAAAAAGCGATTGAGTACCTTCCAGTAGGAGAATCGATTGTATTCCATAGCATTTGTCTGGACAGACAAATACACTCTCAATGGTTATAGTGTAGGTCTATGCCTTCAAATCTAATGGCCGCTGGTTCGATTCCAAGTGAGATAGATTATGGACCTGGATGGAATTTGTCTTTGGGAGTCAGTTAACGGTGTTATCTAGCACCAGGCTAACATGGTAATCAGGCCAGGGTTTGGATCGTTCTTTTGAAAAAAATATCGTAAATGCCAATCATGAAGATAACCTCACGTTTCTAAAGTGAATATATGGCTTCCTACTGCAAACAAAAATCCAATTAATGTAGTTTCCTGCTAGAAGATTTGAAGCGATGAAAGATAATAGTGATCAAGATAAGCCGAAGACGATTGCCAGAGGTCGGAGCAAATTTACACCCCGTAATTTGAGTTTTTGACACCGAAATTGTTGTTCGTAAGGCTGTTATCCATTATCAACCGTTGTTTTTATGGACATAAAAGTGGTTTAAGGAAGGGGCGTAGTTGCTTGCCAAGTGTATCTCTTTTATTCTATTCATCGAGGGTTAGCACGACAGGAAAATAAAGAACCTTCCTTTATCTCTCATCAGCCTTTACAAGTGACTGGAGAAAATGCAGGTTAAAGTGTGTAATCTTGAGTGTTGTACATCTGAAGCTACTCTAATCGTTATACAATAATATAAGAAAGATACTACCCTAGCTTCTAGTTCGCAATAAACAAGCTAGAATAAGTTTTATATTAGGGCGTGGTTGCTATCCCCATTGTTTTATAAGTAAAACACAGATCTTTGTCATACACTAACCTTAATACTTTCGTTGTAATTTACTATGTAAGCAGCTATCATAGAATAAACCACTATATTCTTATGTTAAAGTTGAAGCTAGTTTTAGAGTACGAACTGTTGTGGTTGGATTGAAACAGAGTGTGGTCAATCCAATTACTGATTTCTGTTGAATACGGAGACTTGTTTCACCAAGCCATAGTATATGAATCATCTGTTTTCTTGTATTTATCTACAATAACTATACCTATAATCGAATAGCTTATTACAAAAATATGAAGAAAAAGTCTCGTTTTGACAGCTGCCTGCTATATTCTGTTTGAATAAAAGATATATTTAGTGCTGGTCCATATAAACATTATGTATGTCCTAGTATCCAAAAACCATAGTTACAACATACGCACTATATGGTTTTCGCTGCTGAAAAAAAAGATTATTGGCTCTCACAGGGACAAGATATTACTTTTGATTAAAACAGATTTAAAGAAATTGTAGCTTAACGCTACTCCACCAAGTATTCTTAAATATTCCGCTTCCATATACAAAGTAAGTTATCTAATTACAAATAAATTGGATTTTGAAGTTTTTGATTTAACCGTAACGGACGATCTCATTATTTATTCAGATGTTAAAAGATACTATGATTAAACCCCCACTGCCTCTTTAAGACTCATTCAATAAAAACTGCTTATAAAAGAGCCAGTACTAACCAAATTGAATAGCATACAACTGGAGTATTATTAAGCTATTTTAGGCCTATGTTTCGCATACATCAACCTTATTTCTGATCTTAAGGCTTAAGGTTTAAATAAGGTTAAAAATTAAGATTTAACATTAAAATTTCATAACTAATATTTTACTTAACAATGGTGCCTAGATTGTTCATATAGTCCATTTAAAAATATATTGTGTGTTAAAGGAAGTTTGCTGTTTTCAACCCTTTCTTGAGTTTCATTGGAACTATACTTATTCAAAGTTTAAGTTTTCTATAGACAATCTATGGGGCCTTAAGTATTTTCGAACTATTTCAAATAAGTTTGATCGGAGTAGCTTGTATATGTCGCTCAAACGTTATAAAACAAAATAATTACATTTTAAATGTTTCCCTAGGCGTTTGAGGAGTTAGAGTTGCTGCTATCTAAATCGAACATCTGCATCGCAGTGAAGGAGAAGTTGACCAAGGATTCAGGAGTGGCTGAAGAAACCGCTTATGACAATGTAGTACAGAGACTACAGACCAAACCTAGGGCTAAAGGTGGATATGCAATTCAATCTCTAACAATAGTCTTAGGAAACAAATGCAAGTAATTAATTAAAGTTTCCTTAATTAAAATGTCCAACTTAAAATAACTAAATCCATTAGCACTTCCACGACTAAAAGATTGAAAGGATCTACAGTGCAGTAACCTTTGTATGGAAATAATATAAAATTCGGACCTTTCTGTTGCTGTAAAAAAGTCGTATTCGAAGTACAGGAGAAATTGATAGTTCCAATTAGTTGGCTAAATTAATAATCTAAATGAATGTCAAAAAGCATTTAGGTGCAGTAATAAGAAATTGCTTAAAAAATAAAGAATCTCCAGTTAAAAAGTGGCAAAACATGAAATTTAAAAAAATCCGTTCAGATATAAATGAATGAATAAATCAGTAAAATCGGTACCGATTATTATTTAAATGGTAAAAAATCTAAATGAAACATAGAAAATATCATCCGTATGAAATTTATTTCCAAAACGTGTCCAAGATAGTTCTGAAACCGTTATTAATATTTCTCTGATTGCGAAAATAAATGTCGTGCTCTCAATAAGACCTCGGGAGAAGTCAGCTTTTTCACCTAAATAAAATACTGGCCTCAACGCGAATAGTCTTTGTCCAAGATTTCTTCGCTGTGGTGAACGATACTTATCAAATCGTGACTATTTCATTTAGATTTTATGTTTTTAGATTTTTATTCTAGGTATTTAAATCATATCCAAATTGTTTATTAAAATTTAAATGTTGTGATGGAATGAGTCAAATAATTAATTTTAATCGGTTTTGTTGAATTGACAGGGTTTTTTACAAAAAATGTTACCAACATAGTACTAATAATGTTATAAGTATTTATTTTGTAAAGATATAAAAATTACTTTTGTGTAAAGTAGTTGTTGAGTAAAAAAAATATACCATGGATTAGAAAATTTGTATCATTGAAAGGTAACGTATTTAAGTATTAAAGTATGAAAAAATGTTTATAAACTGAATTAGTAGGCAACCAAAACATTGAACCACATTTTAATACTAATAAGCACTGGGTAATTCAATCTTCCTTAAACAACATTATGCAAAATGCAGTATGTAAAATAATCCTGCTAATTTGACAAACCAAATTATAATTTACAAGTTCCAGTTTAATCTGAGGAACTGCACTAATTAAAACATGATTAGAGACTGTTTCACGAGAGTTCTGTAAGGTTCAAGACACAGAAAGCGTATTCAACTTGCACTTTGTTCTCTGACTTCAAACAATAAACTTGCAGGATATTGATGCAACTTTTCTACTGCAATTATTCCTCTGCAAATAAGTTATATAAGCTTGTGTTGTAATGGTTAAGCCCTTATTGCAAAATTAGTAACGTATGTTTTGATTGTAAGTGAAGTATTTCATTTTTAGTAGGCCAAACATGTGTTTATCTTTTATATTATGAATTTTATTGTAATGTTCAAAAAGAGGCGTAATTGCATTAAAGAGGAAGAAAATTAGGGTAAAGTGCCTCTAATGGTCTTAATACCATAATTTTTACCATTTATTGCATATATTTCCTGTTAGGCATTATGTACCGAATACGTATGTGGAGTATGCGCTGATTAATTGGCCTTAGTAAACGGGTGAATGCTAGTTTGAGGTTCCTGAAAATCTCCTAATATCAGGTAAAGGACTGCTTAAATAAAGCCCTGTGTAATACTATAAGTTTGAAACTTTCATTTTAGCTGCAATTCTTAAACTTTGTTGAATCTGAAATGTCCAGGGGTGTTTCAGGAGCCATAATCTTCGCCTCGGACCAGGAGGTGGCGGGTTTGATGAGAGCTGTCCGTCGTTGTAACGCCACCGGAAGCTTCTCCTGGATAGGCAGCGACGGCTGGTCAGCAAGGTCGTTAGTTTCCGAGGGAAGTGAACCAGAAGTGGAGGGAACCCTCAGTGTACAGCCCCAGGCCAACCCTGTGAAGGGGTTTGACACATACTTCCTCAACCTCACTGTTGAGAATAACAAAAGAAATCCGTGGTTTGTTGGTTAGTGTACACGTTTTAGACTCCTTAAATTTTGTTGCAGTACAAAGTGTTATTCTCTGTGTCGTATCCTGAAAAATTAAACCACTTTATCAAAGTTTACATGAGTTAACCATTCTTGATATTTTGTTTAGTTAAATTATACTCCAAGTGTATTGATTAAGATAATTGAATTCAACATTCAATATTAAACATCAATACTAATCACTTTTCATACCAACTATCCAACGTTAATTAATTAAACACCCACCGTTTTAAAATTATGATACTCAATTTATTTTCAAAAACATCTAAGTTACATCTAACAAACATCTAAAGGGGTTGATTGAATGTTGACTTAGTTCTAAACTTAAATGGCAAAACTTATAAATCTTCATATAAAAGTTATAATTACAATTTGAAACAGTTTTCAAACGTGTCTGGTTCTGAGTTTACAATCTCCGGTAATTATAAGTTTGAAGAATTTTTACAAAATAATTGTATAAATACGAAACTAGAGGGTGTAAACAAGCACAAAATTGAAAGTTTGCTAGACTCACCTTGTAAAAGGTGACAAGTTGAGTTGATTACATACTTCAATCTCTTTGATCTTTGAGATTCTCTTGAAGGAAGCATTTTTGCATAGCCTTGGGGAGAAGGAAAGCTACAAACATTCTGATTGATAGAATTTGCATATGAAATACGAAACTTGTATCCATACAGAAGATTTTATCTCTAAGTACATTACTTTTCATAAAAAACAAGCAAGGTTTGTTGTGAATAGTTTGTTGAGTTTTGCACAAAAGATTATCGATACAATCAATGTTTGGCGTTAAAGTAATGTTTTAGTAGAGATGATTTAATATATTTTCCTTTTTAATAATGAAAAATGTCATTATTGCGACATTACAAAATGAAACTTGACTTATCGTCTTGTGGCAAGCATTTTTCTATACCAGAGAATATTTGAATATTTATTGCATGTATAAAAAACATACAACATGTTTGCTTTTCTAGCGTTGAAAATGTAATTCACTGGGTATAGATTTCGGTCAAAATAATGGCTATACAACACTATTAAGTTATTACTAATCATGTTTAAATTACACTGAAGCACATACCACTTTTCAGCAAACTATGCAGTGGGTACATGAATGTATATAACTCCATTTATATAATACATCAAACCTAGGAGCGTTCCCATCTCAATGATTGATTGATTGATTGATCTTTTCTATATTTCTATATGTTCTTCTTCTTATATCCAAACCTCTGTTTGTGTTTCGTTACCTACTTACTTAAAACAACCTTTGGTGTAGTTAAATAATTACGTTCACTTTATCCATGATTACATTTGTTTACTACTACTTTTTCGAGTAACAAATTCACTCACCCCACGACTATCAACACCATCAGTTGATCAAAAATACAATAAATGAAATTACCATTTGTCCTACCATTCTAGAGTTCTGGGAGGACCACTTCCAATGCCGCTACCCCAACAGCTCCAACACCCCCTACAACCGCAAGTACACCACTACCTGCGACCCTTCCTACAGACTTCCACAGGACACCGCGTTTGAGAATCAGCTGCAATTCGTCAGCGACGCTGTAATGGCCTTTGCTATAGCTCTGCGTGATATGCATGCAGCATTGTGTCGTGACCAGTTGGGACTCTGTCCTGCCATGAAGCCTACCAACGGACCTGATCTCCTGCACTTCTTGCATGGCGTCACTTTTACTGGTAACTGAATGTTAAGGCCTAAATGTTATATTATGTATTCATTACTAAAATCGAATGGTAATACAATTAATATGAAAGCGACTACTGTATTAACGTATATTGTATTTTATTTTTTTATATTTTGAGTCGTAATGGGGTAGGTGGCACTTGTAGGTCTAATAATGGTAATTTACCATTACCTTTCAAACACCACATACTTAGAGTGTGACATTACTGTTACATAAAGGTGTTACTTACGTCTGTCTACATGGGACGATCCGGTTATGCTAAAAACGTGACCAATTTGTATACAGAAAAATTACTTTTCAGGATATGTAGGGTTTATAATAATCAAATAGTATGTCAACACAAGGAGGTTAAAGGCAATCAAAGAAGTGTCAGTCTCCAACAAAAGTAGTGATGGTAGTTGTCATAACCGTATGAGTGTCTAATTCCACTAATGTTACATCAAATATTTTGGGCTGAAAATAACACCTTTTTTATCTAAAAAAATGTAAAACATTATAACGATAACATTAACATTATTACGATTCCTGGCCTGGCATATTTTGGATTTAATAGATTGATCGTTAGGACCTGCAGTGTATATACACAACCCTTAAAATGTGAATGTTTTTTTCTTCTTTATAGACCTGTGGCTAAATCATTGATGATAAAACTCTCAACAGTAAAATACTAATGCTATATAAAGCTTCACTCAGGCTTTATATGTTTCTAAAACAGAATCCATCTAGGTCTACTAAAAGAAATCCTCATACTGATTGGTCTCAAAATTAAAATACAACATCTTGGGAATTTGGGGAGAATTATTATATATTTCTGATGAGATAAAATAATTAATATCAAGATCATTAATATTTATTTTGCAGACATTGAAACATGTCTTTATGTAGGTCTTGTAGTGAACTGTAAAAAAGAGAGAGATGCATAAAAATACCTGGAGGTTTTGCGGAAAAATCTAGAGGTTTTAGGCAATACAATAGAAAGGTTAGCATGCAGCAGAGTATTCCTACTATTGATACAAGGTGCATACCATGCTACCTTCCTACCCAGACACAAATGACATGCTATAAATAGTTCCAATTGTTGTTCTATTTATGTCAAAGTTGGTTGAAATTTTTTTTTCAGAACTACCGTAAAGGAATTTGTTATCTTAAGGAATAACAAAACTGACCCTATCATACCGGCCTAAAAAAAAAAAATTCAAGCTATAAACTGTAAATCCTTCTCAACAGGTGTTTCATGTTTTATACACACAACCATTCCATCGTATATTCCCTTTCAGCATTCCTTTTTCCATACGTATTTCCCCCATTTACCTTGTCGTGTGTTTAAATTTGTCTTGTTCAAGTAAATAGTAAAAGCAACTTACCTTTAAAAGTTAAAAATACTAAATAAATACAAAAAGGAATACAAATGATGCCGAGTTTGAAAGATAAAACCCCAAAAAGGAGTACGTTTAAACTAAGATACAGGTTTGATTATTTTTAATATTAAACAGGTCTGGAAAGACTTTTATAATAGAGCCAACTTGTGAAGGTTCACCATTAGACGATCGATAGTTTTATATTTTGTTTCCACGCTATAACATTTTGTTGAGTTAAATACAATCATCTTTATTCTTCAGGATTGTCAGGGGATGGGTTCCACTTCGACGCCAACGGAGACGGTCCTGCTCGCTACAACATCATCCACTTCAAGCAAATATCTCCTGGGAACTTCCAGTGGGTCCATGTTGGAGAGTATGTAGAAGGAGAACTTACATTGAACATGTCAGGTACGTAGAAAATTCAATTAGGTTTCATTTTGAACTGCAGGCCACGACTGATTACCTTGTTTTGTAAAAACTAGTAACAACTATTATGAATTGTAAAAAGCTATAATTGTATTCTTTCTGTGGTTCCCAGTTTTTTATTATTTTATAAAGAGTTATTTAATAAAGTGAAATAATCTACTATTTAAATACGGAAATATTCAAGGTTATTTTTACTGTATATTTTTTATTCTAATATCTTTACCTACGACCGTTTTTTAAAGTAGCCATTTCAGTTCAGTTCTTAGAATTGAAAAGTTTCACTTAACAGCTGTTTACTTTCATATCAGCATAGTTTCATTTCATATCAGCATAGTTTTTCTCATATCAACACGGGCAACGGACCAATGAGGTTCAAGGATTGAGAGAAAAGAAGTACAATTGTAATACTTCGAACGTCAACTAATCAGCTGATCAGTTGACAATTTTAATTGTTGATCCGGCTTGTTCCTGTTGATACTCGCGTATTCTTAACCTAAGTTCGTGGAAGTTAAATGAAGGTTGATTTTAAAATATCAGTTAGTGAAAGTGATGTTGACGAGATAGAAATGAGAGCATAAACTGTCTGTGCTAATCTTTTGCCACCAAAATCAAAACAAAGGTACCATATGCAAATACATACCAGCAATTCATTAAATGGACGAAACAATATAAGGTTAAATTGATAAATGAAAATGTTCTTCTGGTTTATTTTGAAAACCTCTTAACCACTTTTTCACCCAACTCGTTGTGGACCACATATTCGATGCTGAGATATAACTATAAATTAACTGTTTCACTATATTATTCAGTTGTCCAAAAATATATGCAATATTTCCCTAATTGTACCTGATACAGTATTTATGGTAAGAATGCTGCTAGCAGAACTTATTGCCTGAAAAAGTAACGTATTATTTAACAATGTTTTACAAACACGTAATTACATGAAATCAGCTGATTATACAATAAGTCGTTGCATCACTTTCAGTGACAATGACAATAAACGAAAACATAACCTCTCTAGGAAGTTATGAGAAGTGATTGTTAGTAATAAAAAAACAGATTTTTAGTAATTAAAAAAACGGTCGTAGGTAAAGTAGTGTACGCAACTCGCGTTAATAGTCTTTACGACACTCGTAGAAGTTTTTAAGGCACTCGCCAAGGCTCGTGCCTTAAATTTTCTACTCGTGTCGTAAAGACTAACTTAACGCAATCGTTGCGTAAACTACTATTACAAAACTCCTGATTATATAACAACATTTCAATATAAAACGTCATACAGAGTTTTTTTTTATATAAAACGTTACCTTTAAACCACAAAACAGTTTATCCTACGTTAATTTCTTTAAATCTAAAGCATATTTAAACGTAAATACAAATACAAAAATCTAAATGATGCATTGTATTGCTTTGGTACAGACAAAGCAAACCTGGTGTATTAGTCAGGTAGCCTGTTGATGTCCATGATCAAAGACATAGTCAAGCTGGAGTCAAATACGGATCATTTTAAATTGCATCAATCTAATAAATGCATAAAGATTTTCTGATTCTGATTTCTGATCTTATATCGTGTTATGCTAACCCTCCATCAATTCAACTGGATATTGATTTTTGTATGCAAGGTTATGAAATAGAGGAGAATTAATAGGTTGCTTTGTGTGAATGAGGTTTAATAATATCTCGGGAAATTATTATTATAATTGATAAACTGTTTTACTTCACTTTTCCTTGTTTATAATTTAAATTTTTAAACGATCGTAGAGTGCAATTGAAAATTAATTACTAAGACATAAGTAATAAATTACAGTAATAATAAATAATCTCAAAAAAACTATTTGATTATAACTGTTCACTCCTTCCGTATGATTTGTACGGTTCAAATCCCTACAACGCAATTAAATGCTACCTAACTACAACGCATAACTACACCATACTTTCGTAACTTCATCGTCGTTAATGATTGTTGTTGTTGCATTTTACAGATGTCCAGTTCAAGCTAGGACAGCCTCACCCCCCGGAGTCCGTGTGTAGTTTACCGTGTCAAGTAGGACAAGCCAAGACTTATGTAGAGGGAGAAAGTTGTTGTTGGCATTGCTTCAACTGTTCTACTTATCAGGTAATCCTACTTGTACTGTAATACCTTTCAGTAAAATACTTATCAATCAAATAATTGTAAAAGTGTTTCATTCTTTACATAAATGGTGTAGGTACACTACGAAAATGTAGCCTAGATGTTCAAATATTCGTTTTAAGTCTCTAATGATTGAATAATTATATTTAATCAATAACCCACTGAATAAACCCTGAAGTAAATAGCCCATTTCCAAAAAATGTATGTTTGGAAAAAATGACAACTTAAAGTAGTTTATATTTTCAACTACAATCAACTACAATGGTATTAAAAACTAATATAGATAGTAGTTGAAAAAATATTTATTGTTCTCTTTGAGAAAAACACTGGCTTAGGCTGAGCTGTATGAATAAGACTGAGATTTCAGTGTATATAGAGTCTAAATGAAATGCTGAAAAATAGTTTTAGTTTTTATTATCATCAGACACAATTTTGTTTACAGTTAAAAATTATTAAGCTAATTATATAACTTCACAACAACTACTTTCGTCGTACATAAATCTTTATTAGGGACACTTTCTTGAAAATGAAATAAAGAATAACAATATGTCAAACCTACACTTAATTTCAATAATTTTCTAAGCTTTAAAATGGTCGATTAGTTAGTAGCGGAAATATTACTTAGCAAACAGCCGTTGACGATGAACATCTGGACATTCTGGCTTAAGCCAGAAATTGGAGTTTTTTTTTTCAATTCCAAAAAAATAAATGTACCCCTCTAATAGATTCAAGTTGTTATTTGTATTCTATATTTTTAGATTTTCTAGATTATTCTAGATTTTTTCATTTATAAAATTCGGTAATCATTGTCATCGGGTACTTAAGCACAATAGTAATGAAAATTTATTTTGACCGTACTTTAAAAATCACATCTAATTTTCAACTAGTTACGTTTTTTCTAGATCCGCCACCCTCTAGATGAGACCAAGTGTATCTGGTGCCCCTGGGGTACAAAGCCTGACACTCAGCACCAGTTCTGTCTGGACATTCCCGAAGACTTCCTGCGAGCCGAGAGCGCGTGTGCCATCGGAGCCATGAGCTTCTCACTGACAGGGTGTCTCGTAACACTGTTCGTGACCGGAGTGTTCATACATCACAACGACACCCCGGTAGTCAAGGCTGCAGGTCGAGAACTGACGTATGTTCTGTTGGGAGGTCTGCTGCTGTGTTACTTGGTGACGTTCGTGCTGGTGCTGCGGCCCTCGGACATCGTCTGTGGGGTGCAGAGGTATGAACCAGCGAGCACAGAATATACAATCAACTAGATATGAATACGCTCAAACATTTTATACACTCTTACATGTAATATTCGATTCAATGAAATGTTTCTTGTCTTTCCTTATCTGAAATACTTCATTCAAACATATTTCCACCATTAGTCTTAGATGTAAAGTCAAAGAGAGATAATTTATCAATCAATAAGTAAAATCTACGAATTTCGGAAGTCTAATTCAGCCTTATTTGTTGACGATACGGTTTGATAGTTTTGTCATGTTATTCTATAGTAAGGCATTGCCAGCTGATGTTGGAAATATTTACGTAACAGTATTCAATCCAATATGTGCAGGTTCGGAGCTGGGTTTAGCTTTACCGTTGTTTACGCCGCATTGCTGACCAAGACCAACCGTATCTCCCGTATCTTCAACGCGGGTAAACGCACCACCAAGCGACCTTCCTTCATCTCTCCACGCAGTCAGCTGATCATCTGCAGCGCTCTCGTCTCCGTACAGGTGATAAAAATCCTCAACATGTACCACTTCAAAATTGATTCCATTGCTAGTCAATGTTTTCTCTCCGTAGTAATAGGTTTTGTATTGAAATGGCACTGTCCTAAACTAAAGCCTTTACTCAACAACCTTTCCAGTTGAACTAGTAATTCTGTTTAGAATAATGTTTGAAATGGATTTCCAGTTGGAATAAATAAATAAATAAAAATAAAACATGTGAGCAGGCAAAGTATTGGACTTGGGTGGGTAATTTAATTTCGCTTATCTGATGACAACTAGGTCACTGCTAAGCAAAGTAAATACTTTGACACTTATTGATCCTATTGTTCCAGGTCGTATCTCTTACACACTAATAAATTATCATTTTACTGTTCTATTTTGTAAAACCTACCAAGTTAAAAATGTGTGCTGAAATAAGACCAGGAAGAATAGGTTTTTTTAAGCAGAATGGCAATTGGGCTATACGAGTGATGAAATTCGTCTTTAAACTAACTTTGTGCATTTAAAAAATGAGAATCTGTGTTTTGGTTTCAACTAGAACATTTTGCATCATTAAACAACCTTTATAATCATGGCCAAATCAAGGTTCTATTCCATCCCTATCTTAACAGTAAAATTTCCTAGAATTTTAACAGAACTTTGAAGTGTATACAATGTGAATTCTAGTTTTTATGTATTCATTTACGAAATATTGTAAACATGTAACATGTCCTCTCTACTTCCCAGCTGCTCATCAATGCAGTGTGGATGGTTGTATCGACTCCCCGTGCCATCCACCACTACCCCACCAGGGAGGACAACCTCCTGATATGCTCATCCTACGTGGACGCCTCCTACATGATCGCCTTCGGGTATCCCATCGTACTGATTGTCGTCTGCACCGTGTACGCTGTGCTGACCAGAAACATACCTGAGGCATTCAACGAGTCTAAGCACATAGGTGATGTATGACCACTGAAGACGTTTTATCGGTTTTATCCTATCCTTTTTTTCCTATGACAGTAGGCACGAGCCTGGGATTGTTTTTAAAATTACTTCAGGCTATACCTAGGGGTTGCGGCATTTTCATGTGGATAAAATCTCTGGTGATTTTGTGGGATTTGAACCCGGGGCTCAGGGACTGAAGTCCCACGCTCTAACCTCTAGACCAGCTCGCTCCCCCTTTATCATACCCTTCGATGTTATTATAACATGAAAACGTAGTAGAATGAGCATTTTATAAGCGAATAGATTTCTATCTGTTAGCGTTCTGTAAATTGTTGAGTTATGTTATATATTTTATAGCTTACACTAATTAGGCATTTTAATGTTTGGTATGATTGAAAGACTGTTTTAAACACATTACTTTTGGTGTATAAGACAGAAAACAATGTAGGGTTCAATAGGCTGTCCATATCGCACTTAAATACTTATATTATAATCTAATATAAATAAGAAGAATAGAAACTATTTAGATAGTGAATTATTTTATTAGTTGAGAATACGCTTTTTCATTTGGGACGGTACAAAAATAATATTAAAATAATTTCAGAAGTAACGTTGAATTTAGTTGAAAGCTTTTACAGTTGAAGATTTCAAGCCACATATTGTAACTGGCTAACTGATTGTCCAGAATGTATTCAACTAAAGTATCATGACATGTGTTCAAACGCAGACAAAGAGTTTTTGTTTTCCTTTACATTTTGTTGAAAGAGTATTTCGTCAGAACACACACAAAACATAATTTCCCACGTAGCTACATCCTTTCTCCTTGAGAACATTTTATCGTGACTAAACTAAACGAAAAAAATTTTTTACTTGAATTAGGTTGAAACTCAATTATCTGAACGATATTGAATAATTTGTAAATATTTTCCCTGGGGGATTTACTCTGAATACTTTTATCATTTTATTTTGATCTCTCTGAGCTCACTACATTATCCTCCGTGTAGGGACCAAATTCCCATGTGACATACTGTTGTGCTTTATAGCCAACGGTATTTACATATGGCACTCTGTGTGCATGTTACATGATATAGAGTGGTTTATTAATGCTGCTATGGCCGCTGTGGTACATAAACATTTTGAATACGTAGGTTAAAGAGAACCAAATTAATTCTTCGTATAATGTATTTACATAACTTACTTGTATATGTTAATAATGAAGGATAGGTACCGGGTAAGCAGTCAGGGGGCTTCGGCTCTCATGACAACAAATAATAATAATAATAATAATAATAATATATGTTAATTCTGATTTAGGTAGCGTTATCATAATAATACCCTTACCACAGCAAAACCTGCACACCAAGCCAATTTCTTTTAGCCTGAATATATTTCTACAAATATACAGGGTTAGTAAAAAGTGTGGAGACCCCCTGTTATTTTTTTAACGGCCCATACTAGAAAAACCAAACTCGGCACACCTTTATGGAATGTTATGAAGTACTTTTTGTGCATAACTGCCACTTGGTGTACATCCCCAAAATGGGGGATTTCGGGAGAAATTTAAAAATTTCAAATACAAACACCCATCGAGTGACCCCTCATTTTGAAGGTCCTGGTAAAAAAAAAACCAACAACGAAAATTAGAGGTCTTTATCTCAATCCAGTAAAAAATGGAAGCCAATTGAAATTCTCAGAAGTTAAAATAAACTTGCAGCTTTCCAAGTCTGGAGACCCCCTGTATATTTTGTAACGGCTCACACTAGGACAATTAAACTCTACACACCTTTTCGGCATGTTATGAAGTACTTTTTAAGTCTAATAGCTACTTGGTTTCCAAACCCAAAATGGGGGATTTTTGGGGAAACTCAATTATTTTAAATTTTAAGCCCCATCGAGTGACCCCTCATTTTGAAGGTCATAACAAAAGAAAACTAATAACGCAAACTAGAGGTCTCTATCTTAACACAGTAAAAATTAGGCAGTCATTGTATATAAAATTGCAAGTAATTTCTGATTTTTAAAGACTTCAATCAGCTTCCATTTTTTACTAGATTGAGATATAAACCTCTAGTTTGCGTTGTTAGTTTTATTTTACCAGGACCTTCAAAATGAGGGGTCACTCAATGGGGCTTATAATTGAAATTTTTTGAGTTTCCCCCAAAATCCCCCATATTGGGTTTGGGAACCAAGTGGCTATTAGGCTTAAAGATTACTTCATAACATTCCAAAAAGGTGTGTAGAGTTTATAGTTATCCTAGTGTGAGCTGTTACAAAATTTACAGGGGGTCTCCAGACTTGGAAAGTTGCAAGTTTAATTTAACTTCTGAGAATTTCAATTGGCTGCCATTTTTTACTGGATTGCGATAAAGACCTCTAATTTGCGTTGTTGGTTTTATTTTACCAGGACCTTCAAAATGAGGGGTCACTCGATGGGTGTTTGTATTTGAAATTTTTAAATTTCTCCCAAAATCCCCCATTTTGGGGATGTACACCAAGTGGCAGTCATGCCCAAAAAGTACTTCATAACATGCCATAAAGGTGTGCCGAGTTTGGTTTTTCTAGTATGGGCCGTTAAAAAAATAACAGGGGGTCTCCACACTTTTTACTAACCCTGTATATCCTAAAAATATTGTATGTATTTCTTATTTAAAATAATATTAGTTTAACAAGTACATAGGTTTGCTGATACAGAGAAATGAATAGAGTGTTTTTAAGGAAATGTTTAGAGATATATATGGAATACATAAATTTTCCATATTTTTTATCAACATATGGACAAGTAAACCACAACAGTTAGTTTACTTATTTTCCATAAGATGTTTTTTCCTAGCCATTAAGCGCAGTTTATTATTAGTTTATTCCCTGTATGGAAAATTTGCAAAATTGAATAATAAAATTGCTTGACCGCCTTCCAATGGAAATAAACTGCAATCTTCGTAAACCAAAGAAAGAACTAAATTCATTAAGTAATTACGTATAATTCTCCAATGAACATTTAAAACAACAACAAACAATAAACAAAATATTCTAAACACTTAAACACAAAAAATTAGTACAACTATTTTATTATTTAGTTAAAAAAATTACTTTTGTTGTATTTGTTTGACCCTCAAAGTGTATAAATATCACTGCAAACAGATGATCGACAAAAATAGTACAAGGATGACACGTTTTTTTACTTAAATTTAAACAGATAGATTGCCAACAATGTTAGGTCCTAATGTTTAGTCCTGATTCTAACATGTTTATGTGTAGGGTTCACAATGTACACAACTTGTGTGATCTGGCTGGCGTTTGTGCCTCTGTACTTCGGCACAGGCAACAACATGGCTCTGAGGATCACGTCTATGTCAGTTACCATCAGTCTGTCTGCGAGTGTTACTGTCGCTTGTCTCTTCTCGCCCAAGGTAAGTTCATATACTGAACAGTAAATATGAATAAACAGCTTCGTTCTGATCTGCCTTAATACTTGAGTAACCACGTAGCACATAATTTCCATTCAAATGACAAATAAGGTGGATATGCTTAACATATTCTGAAATTTTTTATGGTCTGTTGTTATTAGTAACAATCGAAAGGTAATTTTATAACATTTTGAAATCCTAATGTAGAAGATAATAGAATAAATATTTAAACGAAATAAGTAGGAACCTATTCTACAGGGTGAATAAAAAGTCAATAACCCCCTCGAATATTTTTCTAAGTAAATATACACAGATATCCTGTTCATGGTTTTGCAATCTTAGTAGGAAGTTTCATTTTATTATTTAGAAATTTTTGAGTGTCCCCCAAAAAGGGAGATTTTGGGGGCAACTCAAAAATGTTAAATATAAATCCCCTTCAAGTGACACCTCATTTTGAAGTGTCCACACCCACAGACGACGACCTTTCATCAATATTTTATTTGTAAAATTAATGTAAGAATTAAATTTTGTCTATTTGTGAATAAACGTTTTTTCTTTACGTTTTTGTAAACACTTTAAAATGAGGTGTCACTTGAAGGGTGTTACTTTTAAAATTGTTGAGTGCCCCCAAAATTCCCCCTTTTGGGGGGACACTTAAAAATTTCAAAATCATAAAATGGAACTTCCAGCCAAAATTGCACGACCACCAAAAGGATATCTCTTTATCACTTATATATACTTACTTACTCACTTGAATTTATCACTTAGAAAAATATTAGAGAGGATGGTCTTGACTTATTATTCACCCTGTATATTACTTAAATCGGATATAAATTCGTATGTGCCTTATTTTGTGCATAATATTAATTATTGTTGTTAATCTGTTGCTATGTACTCATAACACGTCTGTACAATATCATAGAGTATTTGCATGTATTGTATATAAATTTCTTAATCCTAGCAAAGGCTGAATGGACTTTTATTATTAATGCTAATGGAATTGTATTTTTGTCGGACAAAGAGCAATTTAAAAGTCATTAGTTACGCCACCTGGAGTTGTCGCATTACATTTCAATTTGACTCAAGCCAATTTGACTAAGTGAAAATTTGTGCGCTTTCTTTTTATTTGAATAATACATTCTTACTCGTTATTGGGTAAATTTGAATAGATTTTTCATTAATTTAATGTTGGTAGGTTTTTTGGCCAACAAAGAGGTTAATTGATTAAGGTGAGAATACGAAAAAAGGTCAAATTAGGAAAAGTTGTGTTCTATACTGGGTAGTTCATAAAAAAGTAGACTTCCGTATTTTAAATACAGTCAGGGTGCAATGTGTCTATATCTGCATGGGTGTTATGCATGAATAATGCAATATAGCCTGACTTGACTGATGCATGAGCTACCCAACACAATTATAGTGGCCACAACCGTTAAATAATGCAGTTACTTAGCTTGTAATAGTTCCGTTACGAAACATTATGACAATAATAATACTTTCTAAACACGCGTCCTTTTGAAATGTTACCATTTCTTTTCTGCTAAAACTTTAATTTAAAATGCTAGTTAACTTTTTAACATGTGTATTCCAAGTTAAACTCTGCTATAAAAAGCGATTGATATTAAATTTATTTAATGTAAATTTTTAATGTAAATGTTATTTTTTATAATAATTTGTATATCAAATCAAATCATTTATTGTTCATAAACACACACACACATATATATATATATATATATATATATATATACACATATATATATATATATATATATATATATATAATGTATAGACAAAAGACATCAGTGTCAAAATAAAAGTCATCAAAAGTCAGTTTTGAATGGCCTAATAAAATAAAAAAAATACAATTTCAATGTATAAAACAATAAGAATTACCTCTTAGTGCACATACCTGGGATCAACTTAGATCACTCAAAATGTGATCAAAATATATCCATATATTGATTAATCTTTATACCTTCATTGAATTTGAGTTTTCACTGACAGTTAAAAAATAATTACTAAACAGAAAATTATTAGACACTAATTGGATAGGCCCTACCCATAAGGTAAACAAAAATAAACAAAATAATAATGCAATGGTAATAAATAATAAAATGAAACTCCAAACAAAAAGTCAGAATACTACACAAAACTTCTCTATTTGTAAAGGCTATATCCTACTTCTTTCAATCACAAGCAATGTTATATTGATTTTAACGTCACAAAATTTAGGTAAGGTTTACACTATCGTATTTATGTCAAATACTTCTAGATTTCATACATTGATTTTAAAGTGTATGGTACTTTACCTACATCATGTATTTTAAAAATAGTGTCATAGAATAGCAAGTAATCTTATCTTAAAAAGTTATAAACTATCCATACATACTGGTCGGAATGTAAAAAGTATACGTGTACTATGTATACTTTACTCGCAATTAAACTTACAGCTGTACATTATCCTGATACGCCCAGAGAGAAATGTTCGACAGAGTATGATGCCTAGTACCAGAAACCGCCACCAGGGTGCCGTCAAGTCAGGTACTAGCGCTAGTGTCGCCGTGGCCGCCGCTCATGTAGACTCTATCATCCCCCCTACAGACGTGACTGGTAAGTGCAAAAAAACTGTGAATAAATCTAAAATCCTTGAACAAATAATCTAAATACCATCGTAATGTGTTTAACTACCTTATTTCGTAGTTGATTAAGGGGTAGATTTAATACTAAATTTGTAATATTAACGATAGTAACCAATGCGATTTTCGTGGTTTAGTTTAAGCAATCCATTTACAAATGAAAATCTGTATCTTTTATAAGATATACAATATTATATAGGAATTACGTTTAAATAATTTAATGAAGGTAAATATAAGGCATTTTTTTATGCAACTACATATTAAGGTATGGTGGCAGACATTTTTCATCACGAAAGGGTATTCATTTACAGATCAAAACAAAAAAAAACACATATTTGTCATTTATGGTATCATTAAATCATTTGGAAAATATCCGCAATAATACCACTCATTTCATAGCATAACATAAACTTGTCTTCTCTTAAAAAATGTTTTTAAACACAGACTACTGTTAAACGATAGTACTATTCAGGTAACAATTTCAACTCCTAATGTATTTTTAAGTTTTTAAACTTTTTGTTACCGACATTATTTTGAATTAAACTATTTATTCATTATATTATGATTTAATAACCAAAGGATTGCAATACGTGTGTTCCAGTAGTTTCCAAAGCGGAGAAACCTCCGGTGTTGAAGGTGAGCAAATCTACCCAGACGTTGTCGGACACCCAGACTAACACCCACACCCACACCCACACCCATCCTGTGACCAACGGCGAACCCAGGGCTGTATAGCGTCAACCCTCCGTGTCCAAGTGTGTAGGCACTCGAGGACGCTCCAAGAAACAGGCTTTTGTCGAGAGTAACCACAAACCTGTATTCGTGTAATGTCTTGTGTATGAAACCTTATCCCGATCCCTTTAAGCATAGCCACGTCTAATACAAGGCCTTGAAGTCGGGGTGTGGCAACGTCGCACAGATACTAAACACAGCAGGCGCTACATTATGAATGAGTGTAAACAGGTGTTTCGTTAAGCCGGCCGTGCGGTGTTGCCGATTTCATCTCACCGCGGCCTTTTATTAGAAAGCGCCATGCTTTGAGTCTTGCGCTATTTATAATAATTTGTCGTAGGATAATTGTTGATAAAAGATACGTTACTTTTAAGTGGTTTACATGGTCCACAAAGGACTTGATTGATTTTGGTAATATGTGGTAAGGCCTATTTTTAAAGTTACTTTAATTATTAAGACTGATGAAAATTGTAAATCGTTTTTTTTTCAATGTATTAAGTTATAACTATTTTGTGTCTGAAAGTCTCGAGAATTTAAATAATTAATACAACCATTAATTATTAACCTTCATTATTGTATAGCGAACACTTTCAACAACAAATGGTACGCAGTATAGCAGTACTCATTATTAATTCTGATAAACAGCAGTTAATGAAAATAAATTTAAATCTTTGGGTGCGTTGCACAAATTAAAAAATAGTAAAATCAAATAAAAAGCAAAATTATGTTTTAAAGATATACTGTCGATGATATGCCGAAAATATGACTATTACTTAAAAGTTTTAGTATACATCAAGTCTCAATTTGGTATTTATAACTTACGACAAATATAATATCGTTCATATCGCAAATTTGGTTCCAGGTATAGGAATTAAACTTTTTGTGAGGTTCTGGTTGCATAGGTAGAACCACTACAGATGTTGTTAATTAGATAAGAGTTAAAAATCGTATCCGATTATATGACATATCGCATATAATCAACAATATTACTGATGTTTAAGGTTAACAACGGTGCTCAACTTCTTTACTCGTTAGGAAACTATATAGTTTAGTGTACAATGAACAACAATTGATTAAACATCACATAGCTATTTTATACGTATTTATAATTATTTCATTTAGTTTTGACTTTGTATTCTATTTACTATTACTTATTAGCGTTTAAAGGAAAATAAAATCATTGGCTGTGAGAATGGAATGTTATTGATGATGACCTAAGTTCCCACATTCACAGAGTGAGATTTTTTGCAACTCTTTTCGGGTTCTGACCCGAGTATAATAGTATAAAAAAACATTTATGAAGTTTTTTTTTAATGCTACAATGTTGAATGAGCTGTGTCAAAACAACGAGAACTGTAAAATTATATTTTTATCAAACGCTTTTACATCGTATGTTGTTGCTTGGTTGAAAAAGTAAACAAATTCAAAATGTGTGGTATTTGTATTAAAGGGTGCCATGCAGTAGTTACTACAAACAACCGGGTGTTGATGGAACTAAAATGAATGTATTTTTCGTTGAGGTCAGGAAAATATTTTGTCTATTTTCTCTAAATCCAGATCAAACCTAAGACACAGAAAAACGGTTACCAGCTGTACCTACCAGCTGTATTTTTTGTTTATTAAAAATCTGGTTAATTTGATACAATAGCGTAGAAACACAAATACAATTTTAAAATCAAAATCGGAGCCAGGCTTTCCTAAACATTCTATTTATGACCTTTTTTCAACTTACCACCAGAGGTAATAAGAGCCAAGATACATTCGATAGATTGTATACGCCTTAACACGATAAGTTCAGTTTTTGTGTTTTTATTTATTTCCAAAATGTCAAAGATTAAATTTGTTGATGCTGCAGAGTAAGACAATTTAACAAAATTTACTAACCTGAACATAACTTCTGTAAGTTTAACCTGATCCAATCTTTGGTAATATTGACGAGAAGGTTCATCAAGACGAGAGTCTGTCAATAGATGAAGCATTTGTACACAAGACGAGGACCCTTAGACTAAACGGATCACCAAAGATCTCAGTTGCTTAGTGTTAGTTCAACAATCAAAATCGAAAGATAAATTTATTCCACTAAAATACTTGAAACACTTCTTTGACTAAAGATATTTGGATTCTCGTGTTACTTTGATGAATGATGGAAAGCATCGTACTATTTAGTTATATGCAAATTATTTTGATAAATACACGGAAATTGCAAGATAAGCCGGAACTAAAATCTAATCAAGAAATCAAATCAAATCAAATACGGTGTTCGGTTGAAGTATTTACTAAGAGAGATGATTTAGTAAGTCAGAAACTGCTAAATAAAATTTTCCACCAAAATAGCTCGTAACACAAGCAACATATCAGCCACACCCAGTTTGGGTTCCATGTGATTATCTTCCACTTAACTCATCAACATAACTAACTTAGTTAGCTAACTCAACTTCCCTCTCTGACCACCAGTTTAAGCAATTTACTCCCTGTATGTAGGTCATCATTGGATTTCTTTGTCGTGACAACTTATGCTCCTTTTATAATCCACATACGCACATTGTTGTTTACTTCGTCTACTGATATGTATTAAGATGGTATAAGTTTGTAGAACTAACACTTCAAATATTTATATAGACTACACTTTATCCGGGGATTGAGTTTTCATGACATTTCAAAGCGTTCAACTCGACAAACGTTTAGTAGAACGGAGACCCTGGTTCTTTTACAATTTAGTAATCCTGATTATGACAAATCTTTCTCAAGGCACAAGCAAAGAACTATTCGCATTGTTTTTAATTAAATGAAACCCAATGACAATTTAGTTAGAAACCCATTCTGTTTTCAATTTCAAAAATGCTGAAACAATATCTGAAATACAAAAACCTCTCCAATAAAAAATACGAACATTAAATTGAACCTGTAACTAAAAAAAACCTGCAAAGGATTATAAATTTGTGTATTCGCACGAAATACTAGGCTTACGATTCCAAAATGGAATTGAACACATACCATAAGGGAAGCACGGTTCAAATCTACAATACTGTGGCAGAAAGCATTTCAGGAGTCCATTCCAGGTGAGTTGACTTTGGATACTCTTGATTTCTCATTACTGTTAGATCTGAAAAACGTAGATATAAAACATATAATATAATATAAATAGTAATATTAAAATTGTTCTATTTATATTTTGTAACAAAATGTTCTACTTCAATACGGTTGCACGGACACGATTAAGTCTCTAATTACAAGCTGTCTTTACTTATGTTTCCTTGCATTTCAAGACACTACATTCTCTCAATTGATTGCGAGAATGAAGGACGCTTATAAAATCAATAACACAAGACAAAAGGTACAATTGCTCTAAGCAACCTTTGGCTAACAATTATTCTTCCTACACAATGCATGTTGACTCAAACTGAATTTGAATTATATACGTTTTGAAATAGTTTGGCTTTTAGTTGTTAACTCTATCTATCCTAAAATCCAATTTAAGTGTTTCAGGTTTCTTAACTATTTATTAAGCGTTATGATTTATATACAGGGTGTCACAAAAAAGTGTGATGGGCTATACAGGACCTAATTCTACATGCAAAAATAAGTCAAAAATGAAGAATAAATTTTTTTGGATTTCGGCTTAGCTTAGCCGTAATCCGCCATTTTGTTTTTTGGGGAAAATATTTATTATTTCAAAATCCCTTTGAGATATTTTTACGAAACTTGGCAAAATTGTTTATTATTATATTATATTATTATATTATATTATATTATTAATTATTAATATTAAAATGTATTAAATGTAATGTTTATGTAACGTATTAAGTAATTTCAGTCTAAATTACTAAAATAAACACAGCTTCTTTATTTATGAACCGATTTTATTCATTTTTGTGTTGTTGGATTTTTCATAATAAATACTAAAACTTTTTTGCCTTACAAAATTTTGATTTAGGTACCGGTTTTCATGAAATTTGGCATTAAAACATTCAAACGGCCACCATTTTGAAATTTGGAAAGTTAAAATAATATTTTTTTTTATAAATGTTACTTACTATAGTGTAAACAATTTTGCCAAGTTTCGTAAAAATATCTCAAAGGGATTTTGAAATAATAAATATTTTCCCCAAAAAAAAAATGGCGGATTACGGCTAAACTAAGCCGAAATAAAAAAAAAATTATTCTTCATTTTTGACATATTTTTGCATGTAGGTCCTGTATAGCCCATCACACTTTTTTGTGACACTCTGTATATAAAACACTAGTCCTAATTGTGGACTTTTCGGGAAAACAATAGCATACATCGAACCATTTCCAATAGAAGGAAATGTTTTGTTAAACTAAAACCAATAGAAAGCACAAGTTTTGTCCCTTTGAGCAGACAAGTTAAATCAAACAGGCGATTTGAGCAGACAAGTTAAATCAAACAGGCGATCCAGCAAATTCCTCTAACTGATGTGGCTGATGTTACACTGTGTTAAAGTTTATGTAACAGATCAAGGGGTATTTTCAATCGGACCAGTTTTAACTAATCAGCTTTTTTTTCAATGATTGAGGTTTTGATATCAGTTTTTCTAACTGAAAAACAGTAAAACATCATTATTTTTAGTACAACTTTTGATCCTGTGAAAAAGCACAACGTCTTAGACTTAGAGTGTTGATTTAAAGTTAGAAGTAGTCTACATACAGTTAGTGACATCTTCGATTGTCTAGTTTTGTTTTACATTATAATAATGTTACATGGGAAACCCTTTTATAAATCTTATATTGATGATATTCTTTTATGTTCACGGTATTATGTAGAGTTGTTACGCACTGAAGTCCAAAAATATAACACCGTATTTAGTTATATTATTTCTTAATTTATCTTAATATCTTAAAGTTTGTTTTTTAATCGCAAGAAACGGTTCTGTTTTACCCGTAGAAAATTTATTTTTGTATTTTACTTTAATTTAAAACAGCGCACGGATTCAATTTTGTAGCAGAATATGTGCTCATGTTACGAGAATATATTCTTATCTAAAATAAACAGTCGGTCATTCATAATTTAATGTGACCAGAGAGTCCGATCTTAATACAAAGTCAGTTCCAAATACAGTAATTATATTCCAGCTTTTTTTATAACCCATTTATTATTCATAAGATTTACCAATATTTTTACTGATACTACCCCGGTGTAGCAGCTTCGGACCATTTTGGTTACATTTATCTAACAAAATTTAATTTAACGCGTATAAAATACATCATGCATAGTTTAATAGAACGCCAAAAAACTGTAGCCTACACATTTAAACCTGTAATATAAAAGATTCACAGATAATTGTGTTTATTATACGTTTAATATCCATTAAAATATTTCATAATCTACCGAAATTAATGTGTAAAGTATGTAAAATGAATCTATATAATTAATACGCTACATGGAACTTTGTCGGTTGAACTCCTCCGCCATTTCTTAACAGATTTTATCCATTGACGTCTCATTGGAAAGAGCGTGTCGCGTAGATTTGCAAACTGGCCTTGCTTTTTTGAAAAAGTCCCTTGGGCTCTGCCCCAGTGGCTTTTGAAGTTTTTATGTTATCCTTATGAAGAATATAATTGTTTACATTTTGATCAGCTGTATAATTTAATTGCTGTTATTTATATATCAATTCAACGAAACGCAATTAGTACATTTACTGATTTGGTTGAAATTAAGTATTTAATATTTTAACTTACATTCGGACATATTATAATGTAAAAATCGAGAAAGTCTGGGCAATTTGATATATTTTACCAAATAAGAAAAATAAATTGACAGGGTACTGTAATTCTTGAGTAATCATTGAAAGAACCGATTTGTTAACCATGGAAAATATAGGAAAGTAATAGAACGCCACCAAGTAGAAGAAAAAGAGATTTAAATAATTTATTTTTGTAAAAAATACAACCGACTTCAAACGCTCTAAAAAGAATGGAATAATTTCAATAAAGTAAACTTTTGTATTAGTCAAGCTCACGTATTTTAAGTCGGCGTGGCTCTAACTGCAAATATGAACAAAATAAAAGATTGAGAGTGTATTTTTAAAATCAATAAATTGTAACACATTTTACATTAGCCTACATTATAACAGTAACTAGCCAAATTAATGCCAATTGAAGCAAATCAAATTGTGACAAAGAGGTTATGCAGAAATTCAGGCAGTTCTTAAG